AAGTCTCCTGAAGATACAAAGATTGAAAAATATTGATTTTCAAGAATTCTATTCTACGAAAAGTTGTTTTTTGTTTGACCGCTGAATATGTTTTGATTTCAAAAAAAAAGAGGGGTATTTTTTTTTTGGTATAGAATAATCCTATTGGGTGAGAGCATTAAAATTCAGACTTTATTTTTCTTAGATCACCCTAATGAGCATACATGCCAGTTTTATGTCGAATATACATTTTAAGTAAATAAAAGTCGAATTGTGGCGGAAAATCAGTTACTTTTAATTTCCTTATTTTTTTCGAGTTCAAAGGCAGTCGTCGATGGAAATTCATACAAACCAACTACGCAAAAAACTTAGCAAATATACGAAAAAGTAGAGCTAATCAATGCACACTCACACTGATCACTTATGTATAAGCTATGAACGAGTGGACTTTACTATTGGGTATTTAGGGTTGTTGTAAAAAGCGGAAATTCTTTCTAAACCATATTTAGCAAATATTTAAACATTAAACAGCCAGTTTTTTTTGCGAAAATTATATAGATATTGTATGTATGTATGCAGTGTGAAAAGCAACCGAATATTAGTATGCAGATAAGCGACACCTTTGGACGGTGACGCGGTTACATATACGAGCATTAACACCAAATACCATATTTTTGCGTTAATATGAACACACGCACACATATAAGTATGTATTTGCTTAAAAACATTAGCGGCAAAAAATCAGCAGATTATTATTCCACGCAAATCAAATGATCCGAGTGCATTTGCGTCGCCATGTGGGGTGCAACGCCACAAAGCAAGGCCTGCCTCCTTTTGAAAAATAAAAGACTATCTGCTTGAATGTCTGATAAGCCCCCCGGTTGATTTATAATGAATGTACATACATACATATATACAGAGGTATGCACGCCATATGTACTGTAGATAGGTGGAATGTTTTGTGCGAGCATACAAAGTTTGCCTATATATGTACATATGTATGTATATCGTCACCTAAGGGCAAAAAGGTGCCAAGTCCATGTTTTGCAATTGTTCAGGAGGGACTATAAATCGATGTAGTTTCGTATTACCTGCCATTCTTCATCAAAAACAAAATTTTGAAAATAATGGACTTGGCACCTTTCACCTTTATATTTTATTTAATATCTATGTACATTAATAAGTACATAGGTGTAAATATGTACATACCTACATACATACATTTTATTCTTTATGTCTTCAAAAAAATAAATTTATGTACATACGTATCGTTACCTTAATATAAAAATGCCCTAACTATTCTTTTTTTCTAAATTCAGTGTTGTACAAAGATTGGTACATTACTTGAAAAGGTCATAATAGATTGTACATCAAATACTACTTGCAGTGTTTATTTAAAGCCAATGTTTTTGAAGGAAATTCTACTGAAGAACTCAAGGTTTTATAAAGTTATATAACAACTCTGTAAAGAAACAAGAATATTAGATATGGCCTTTCTAAGGTAACGATATGTACATGGTTTTTGTTAGATATTGAACTTCATTTTTATAAAAGCCAAAAATAATAATAAACATTGAACACACAAAATAATAATGATCAAAACTCGTCAAAGGCTGCATTTCTGTATTCATTCTGACCGATTATAATAAACTTTTTTGTTTACTTATACTTTAGAACGTTTTTGATGATATGTTAATGCATATTTCACACGCATTCTGTTTATTCTGGCTGTGAAATGGTATTATCTGGAATGTATAAAGAAACGCAGCCAAAATGTAGTGTCCTTACATATATGTTACCCACATTTTTAAAGAACTATCACAAGTTTTTGGCTTTGGCGTGTTTTATTGGCTTTTCGTGTAATAAAAGTAATGCAAATGAACAAATGAACGACTTCTTCGGGGCATTGTACGCAATACTAAAACGTCAGTATCACTTCAATATTTTTGAAAACCAAAAAGGCGTGGCATTGGTATAAATTTTAGATAACAGCATATTAAGGTGAGGTAGTTTTACAAATGACACGGGAATTAAAACATATATACGTCTTCTTACATCCAGCTGCGCGTTTTCTACAATTTTTGTACTTATATGTATCTACAATTAAACTTGTAATATTTCTAATTACATAATATGCAACTATTGCCTGAATTAAATGAAATTAAAACAGTTTG